TAGAAAAACACTGTCGTTTCGATTATTGATTGTTCACACTGATTAACTAGTATGGATTATGTGTATATATAAATCTTAGCACAATAATTGTTTTATTATTATTTACAATTATAATTAGTATACGTATAGAATGACGTCTACATTATTAAGTCATTAATTACTCTGATGAACATATTAATCTATCAATGAGTATTTTTTTTAAGCAAAATCGCATGAAATTAAAACAAATATTATGTAATAAATCATTGACCCATTTTAGATAGACAATTGGAAATGTATTGTCGAATGATATACTTAACCGTTTATAGTATTAAATAAGTGACCATAAAAAATAGCATTCTATTGGGTAATTAAAGAATTTACGATATTATGTTGATGATGTTACGAAAATTATAGACCATCCGTACGTGAAGATAGTTAATGTCGTAATGGCAAAATAATTAAATCGATCAAACACACAAGGTTGCGCAAATTTGTTTGACACTTTTTGCACGTTGTTTAATGTTTTGTTTATGCTATTTTGTCACATGTGTACATCGTTCTGCGTGACTAGTTGAATGACATTCGTTAGGTCACTAAACACGGAACTCTACCGCAGTAAGTACTCGGTGAGAAAGTAAACAATAATAATTTTGCATATTTCGCGTGTATATCAGACGCACACCTTCATAAATACGGAAAATGCATGTGTTGTTTAATATAACGAATGTGATTTGGATACAAAACAAGATCGTGTCCGCTCGCAGAATTAGTGCATATAGTCCATCTCGGGTCCATGTCCAAACGATTACGCTGCGAAAAGCCGTTTGACAACGTTCTCCGTCGCACTAAGACAATGAGCACTTACTACTTGTATTTTTTTACAATTTTGTTTTCCGTAACACGTACTACTCGCTCTGAAAATGAATTATTGACACGCACTCACACTTCTAAATCAGAATCACTCCGTAAGTTCATTTCTAACAATAGCTTGTCGCATTTTCGTTGAACAAAATCTTTTTTTCAGCTTACATGCTCCGAGTATGTCATCGAAGTGATCCAAACTTAAACGATTGCGTAAAAGAATCTATTGAAGAACTTAGACCATACTTGGCTGAGGGTAAAACACTTAAATTTTTTTAATCTCCTTAGAAGTAAATTTAATCGAATCATAACTATTGTTCTATTTTAAAAGAACGTTCGTTATGGGGAAACATTGATGGCATTAACGCTGCACTGAGAGGTGCCTCGCTTGTCATGTTATTGAGTTAAAAAAAAAAATCATAAGAAAAATTCCGAGTTTTACTAGTGTTTTGTTTAGAGTTTGCCCAAGACCCCAAAAGTCATGAAGGCGGGCCTGGGTACGGTTGTTTTAAATTATATTTGTAAAAATAAAAGACAGCTACAGGAAAGAATTTATCATAATAACTTGTGGTTTTATTTCTCATAGGAATACCGGAATTATTTATACCATCATGCGAACCTTTATTCATACCCGAAGTCGTTATGAATCAAGGCAATAAGGGCAGTGTGAGTGTCCAATCCATTTACCGTAATATTCGTGTGTATGGGCCAAGTCAATTCGTATTAAAAAGTGTCAAGTGAGTAAACGCATCATAGAAATTCTTAATTCTTCATTCGTGGTCTAACCAACACATTAAGTAATTTTTTTTTAGTTTTAAATTGATATTCTTAAATTTTAAATATTAGCCACATGTGATAAATTCATTTTATACAACACACAAAGTAAATGCTAACTTCGAAACTGATTATTATCATTTTCAGAGTGGATCTTGAAAAAGAAAAAATTCGTATTAAAGTATGGTTACCATTCTTGCGTATGACTGCTGATTACTCCATCGAAGGCAGAATTCTTATGCTGCCAATATCTGGAGCTGGGCTCAGCGAAGGAAATTACAGTTCGTCATTCTTCGACTACATAAAAAATGATTTAATGTCAAACCAGTAATATAATGTTTCATTATTTCAGCAAACATCGAAGCTAACGTAGTTGTGCAAGCCAACACTATCCAATTGAAAGGGAAAAAACATTTTAATGTTCAAGATGTGGCCATTGATTTCCAAATCGGTCATGCAAGCATTTACCTCAGTGATTTATTCGATGGCGACACGGAACTCGGTAAGCATGAATACCTTTACGCGTAAATGGAGATTTACTAGTCTTTGACTATTTTACATTTGTCAAAACTTATAGCCTTTTTAAGGTCCAAAAAATAGACATAAATTTCCTTAACAACTAATGTAGTTTATTCAAAAATAATTGTAAGCTTCAAATAAAAAATTAATTAGAACTAGTTTTACTGGGTAATATTTATAAAGCGAGATTAGTCAAGATCTAATTTTTCATTTGTACTATTTTTTATGTTCAACACGATCTTTGAAATGTCGAGTGTTGAAAAATTAATTTTTACATAATTTTTCATAAACCAGGTGATGCAATGAATACTTTCTTAAATGACAATTGGAGACACGTTGCCCAAGAGTTCAAACCAATTCTAGAAGAAACAATCGGTGATTTGTTTAAAAAGTTTGCAAATAAATTGTACCATAAATTTCCGAAAGATGATATTCTTCCAGTTTAGGAAATATAATTAATAAAAATGTCCATTTAAATACTTTAAATGTATTTGTAACTTATTAATTTATTTTTACATTTTTGTAAGCTTTTTTTATCGTAATTAATTTGTTCAATTTTATTATTATTATTATTATTGACAATAAACTTTTACTTTAATTTTGCTTGTCGTTCTTAATTTTTATGACTCGTGTAATATGTTATAACATAATATAAATTTAGTATTCTATATTCGTAATGTATTGGTTACCAGAAACCTGATGAACCAATGAAATTGCCCTACCAGGTAAAAACTTTCTCTGTGGACCAAACTAGTCCTCTTCGGCGGTTTAATAGTGTTATGAGATATTACAACAGCACAAGTTGTGGCGATCGAATTACCATCGAGTCTGTATAACTGTTATTTTTTAATTTTTACATTATTATTTTTTTATTATTAACGATTTTCAATCAAACATAGTTATGTTTCTTATATCCGCCGCAGTTTTATGTGTGGCAGTTATAGAAACTACCACTGCAAATAATTTCACATACAAATCTTCACAAGATTCAACACCACCTCTTCAAACTGCTCGTAAGATGTTTTTATATTCTATAACTTAATAATTAAATTATTTGAGTACAAAAGTTAGTAATATAATCGCATTATAAATCAATAATTACAAGAGTTGTAATGATGCAATACAGCAGTATACGTACAATTACTATGAGAAACGGGGTCGGATTTTACATGTAAAAAAAAGAGTGGAGGAATATCTCTCTTATGAAACTGTTTTAATTATTAAAATCGGCAATTTAGTCCAATCCTGCACTATTTAACGACTTAAAATAAAATTAAACGTTTCTTTTACTCATCACAATTATAAAAACTTCAATCCTAACTAAAAATTACATTTTCATCGCATTTTTTTATATTATAGTAACCGGAGAATCCTACAAGTTTAAGTATTTAGACTGCTTAAAAAAAAATTCAACCCAACCGATTCATAAACGAAATCTTTCATTTACGATTTATCCACTTCCTTCTTACCTCAAAAACTAAATAAAAAATCTACTAAAACATGAAAATTCAAAGGTTTTTATTATTATTGCATCTATAGTTAATATTATTTTCAACGTTTGAAATTTATTTAATGAAGTTCTTGATTTTTATCTCTGACCATAATCGACCAAAGGGCGACTTCATTTATAACATAATCAGACCCGCTTAAAGGACATCCTAGAGATTATTTTTAGGGGGATGTAAAGTGATTTTTTCCGACTCAAGTACCTTAATGAGTATAAACTCTACAATTTATACAAAAAATTCCGATCACTAATGACTGCAATGAACGTTTAAGAGGTATGACTCCTTCACTTTCACCTATAAAATCGCCTCTGGTTACCAAGTCCTAATCTTTTTAAACAGTTTTCGAATTATAATGAAGTTCATAAGAAAAATATACGAGTAAATTTTAAATATCTGGTTCCAATCTACGAAAGTAATCGCTCGAATTGCATTTTTAGATCTAAAAATGGCCGACCACTTAAGATGTTAAATTATCTATTTATATTAAAACATTGTAATCTTAAATGTGAGCATTAAAATTTAATCTATAAATTTAACAGATATAATACAAAAATTCAAACTCGTATAAACAAAAATTACACATTTTTACGAATATAAATAGTAATGACGAACCTCATTAAAAAAATATTCTTCATAAACAACAAAAAATAAATCTCGGGCGAAAATCATTATTCAATCTAAATTGTGTCTTTTATAGAAGTAACATAATTTTCAACTCATTGAACAACAAAAAAAAAAGTATAAATTATGTCAATAAAATTAATCTACCACTTACCTCAACTAACTAAAGTATTTCCGATACTTATATAAGACTCAGTTATTTACACTAACAACTATATATAATAATACATGGTTTATATACATAATACGTGATAATACATGTATACTTACGTTTCAATCATAACAATGTGTCCCGAGGCCACACCGCACCAAGTAAATCAAACAATCAATATAACTATTAAATAATACCTAATTGCTCTTCCGAAGAAAGTATTTTAAAATATTTACGCTTATTTATTTTCGGCAGCACTATCCTTAAAAACTTTCGAATCTTTGAAAAAAATAAATAAGAAGAAAATCAAATACTATAACCAGGGCTAGTCCAAAAACGGATATTGAGATGACGCGTCTTACCCTAATTGACAATATTTTATTAATATTTTTGTATATAATAAATAATAATTCAATAGTTAAAATACATCTCTTGATTGATATTTTATAGACAAAATTGAGTCTATAAAATCTATACAATTGCGTTATCGAAGTTTATTTCTTGAGAGAGAATATACAGAAGAAATTTTTTATTACCCCTACCAAAATATATGATTATTTTCATAATGAAGACAGTTTCTATCCTCTATATCACATATGAAAACACTCTGGATTCAATGAAACTATTACATTAATACCTTAATGGTTATTGGAAAAAATTGATGTAGCCTTAAATTCAACTAATAAAATTATTATTTTTGTTATTTTCTAGCTATATGGTTAAAGTCATGCAAGACAAAAGATCCAAATTTAGATGAATGTATAAAACTCACTTTTGAAACGATGTTTCCATACTTGGCAAAAGGTTTAAATGCATTAGTATAACAGGAGTATCATTTCATTTTTTAGGCTGAGCGAACATTTAAACAGACTTCTATATATTTACTATATTTTATTTTCATTAACAACCGTAAAATCAGGGTGAGCAATCACCCCCACCTAACATCTCCAAGTGACGCTCCTGAAATAACTTATTTTAATAACTTATTATTAAACAATGTTGTCTTTATTGTTCTCTTATTATCATACAGGTATACCTGAAATTGAAACTCTACCATTTGAACCATTACATATTGATAAGGTGGCTCTAACCAAAGTACAAGGTGCTGTAATGCTTTATGGTGCTTTTACTAATCTCACTGTTCGTGGTCCAAGTAATACAACTGCGCTTTACACCAAGTATGAGAAAAAAAGTCTTTTTTAGCTTAATTTATTATATTTTTTTAGTTGTGTTTAAATAGCTAGTGAATTTTCGTAAGAAAATCATGTAGTATACGATTTATTAGTGTTTTTTGAACTTCAAATCAAAGACACCTCTGACATTTTTCTTTTTTGACTTTTCTATAGTATAAAGGAGCGAATTAACAAAAAAATTTATAAATAATTACGCATTTATTTTACAAAATGGAAAGGACAGTAAAAATTTGTTTTATTTAAAGGTACACGTGAATTTTCAAACTCGAAAATAGGTATACGCCATATGTCCCGTATAACACCTCTACAAAAAGTTTCAATAGATAAATAAATATTAATTATACTACTAAATTATCTCAGTGTTGGCCTGGCCCATCTTTTTTCTTATTTTTCCTCTTAAAAGACCAGTTATAAACCGCCTCGAAACTACTGTCAGGCTTTACCCCAGAGCAACCAACGTACCTTTTCTTTTTACCTCTCCGATGATAAAGGATTTGTGCCTAGATGGCACCACGTGGTGGTAGAGCTTTTCAATATTGACAATTATATGCGTTTAAGTAGTCTGGGTACATCACCCGGGTAAGATGATAAGTAATTTCCCCGTTAGTCTGACCAATCCCAATTCGACTAGGTTCATTGAGGGACCCAGTCCACGCCGTCTTTTATTTCTTTGTGGAGAGACAAACGCGCTTCTGCCTCCGCTTATCACGTCTAACGGCGCGCTCCATTGCCAGCTGGTGAACAAAAATCAGGTTCGCAAGCATTTCCGTCGCAACACAAGAGGTCAAGTGATAGACCGACATTATCCACATGACGGCCTGGCATCGCGCGAACAGCCCAATTAGTCATGAAGTTCCTAGGTGTCGTTACCTAAAAAAATATCAACAAGTCTTCCATGCTCATGATAGATTGTCTATTGTCATGGGAGTCATCTGAAAATTTTAAGCCAAAGATCCAAACACGAGCTAGACCGACACTATCCCAAGCAAAAAAAATATTCTTTCTGAGAAAATTTACCAAGAGAGGGAATAATATGTAATTAATTTTTAGTAATAAACAAAATTATGGCCTCTAAAGGTTATTTCCCGATATCAAAAAATAATCAGTATGCGTCTGGTAGTAAACTACTGTCCACCAGCTAGATCTACCATTCGTACATTTTGTTCCTATAATATAATAATTAATAAAACATTTAGCACCCCCCTTATATAAGGGTGGGCGTTGGTACAAATATTATGTACCAACAATTTTCTAGTGACAGAAGGAGTACAAAAAAAAAGCATAGCTCAAAAATAGATCTATAACTTTACTTTTGAGTTAAAACTGAATAAGATTGCCGTTTAATATAATTTAAGCAATATGGAGATAGGTTTTATTATCCCTAACATACACATAAAATCCTCGATTTTGCTGATCAGTATTTTTAAAAATAAAATTATTTTAGAAAAGGTTAATTATTTTGTTTTAAAATTTATTATTTTTGAAACTTTCAGAATGAATTTGAATAAACGACGTTTGGATATTGGATTATTTATACCAACCATTAAAGTAGAATCAAAATACGATCTCAAAGGAAACATTCTTCTTTTGCCATTAGTCGGTGTAGGCGACGCAAAACTGTTTTTGAGTTAGTACGATGTCAATTTTTGAATATTTGTTCAAAGTTTTTAAATAAAAGATAAAAATGCAAATGTTCAGAAAAAATATATACGTTATAATAATAATGTACACATTTTATGAACCAAAATTACCATTGAGTTACTGACTCGTATACAAGAACATAAAAGAAATTGAATCGCGAAAAGCTATTTAATAAATTATACTTATTTTAATTTTTAGAGAACGTGACGACACATGTATATATAAATATCGACTTCATAAAAAACATGAACGAAACTGTAATGTTGGCAAACAGCATGAAAGTGGATTTTAGTTTGACTTCCTTGCGTATCAATCTAGATAACTTATTCAATGGCAACAAAGTTTTGGGTAGAACAGTAAATACGTTTTTGAATCAAAACTCCTTACAAGTCGTAGAAGATCTGAAAGAAAATATCGGTGAAAATCTTTCAGTAATATTTAAAAAAATTATGAACGATGCATTTAGTCATATACCCACAAAGTTATGGTTATTAGATGATTAGATGTTTATTTATATAATCTAAAATATTGTACATAATTTTTATATCTTATTATAGCGATAAATTGTCTTGAGTAGAACGTTAAATTATGCCACCTATCGTATAAATATTTTTGAAGCATCATGTTACTATTTGTGTAATTTTAACTGTATGTATTATTTTTGTGATATTACATAAATTATTAATAAATATATCAGATTTATAATTTTTTTTTTACTATCACTTAAGTACAACTGATTGAAGTAAACTAAAAGTTATAAATACTGAAATTTTTCTTAAAAGGCCATAATTGGTCATGACAAAAAAAAATTTAATGAAAAACACAATGCATATATTTTTTTAAAAATGGTTTCTGTAAATTTAAATTTACGATTATTTTATTGATTGAAATTATATAATTTATTTAATGAAATCTATAATTTTTACTTCGTTTTATTGTTGACATTATTACTGCTACTATATTGATGATGACTTAGTTATTCGAGGAGATATTTTTTTGTATGATTTTTAAAAATTAGAGAATATGGTAAGTTAGGACATAATTCTTACACAATAATTTTTAACCATCAAGTGATAGAAAGGTGTCTCAAATCTTTTAACTTACATCACTAGAGTAATCATTGTTTGCTGAATACTTATGTGCCTGGCTTCGTCCAGATTAAAATTAATTTTTATAAATTATTATTCATTAATAATGAGACATTTTAGTGTAGGGTGTGCTAACCATTATATATAAAATATTCAATTGATAAAGGATAACCCATATCATAATGTATTATGTGTTATGAAATACTATATGTTTTACAACCAGGAGATAAAAAAAAGGTAATATTTTACAAAGATAAGAGTGCAACAATTGAAATAAATGAGTTTAAAAGAATATGGCGGAGTATTTCTGTAGACAATACAGAGTGATTTTTTTATCATAACCCACTCAATTACTTGCAGAATAAATATAATTTAAACATTTTTTTTTTTTGGTTTTTTTTAGTTACACATTATTTTTGTATTATTAACTATTTAAAACTTTTTATATTCATCCCTTATGCCTTGTAAGGATGTCAACTTTGTTTTTTTAAATGGGAACACATATTTTGAATTTAATAAAATGTTTGGATTTTTAATTCAATAGTAAATAGCATTTGAATTATTAATATAACTTTATTTGTTTATTAGAAATAAACATATAAAGCTTCAAATTTTTGAGTTAATATACAGGTATAATACACAAGGGATTATAAATACAGGAAGCTAATTAGATTTTTATGACATTGCTGTCACAGTTACGGATTGTTTATTATCAATTATGACTATCAATAGATATACTTTCCGTATTGTCAGTTAGTGTATTTATAAACTCACAACAATGTCCCTTACTACCATTGATAATAACAATGCTGTACCTGCTAATATCAATGTCATAAAAAATCAATTAGCTATCTGTATTTGTAAACCCTTGTGTATTATACATGTATATTAACTCCAAAATTTGAAACTTTAAATGTTTATATCTAATAAACAAATAAAGTTATATTAAAAATTCAAGTGCCATTTACTATTAAATTAAAAACTCAAACATTTTATTAAATTAAAAATATGTTTCCATTTAAAAAAACAAAGTGGACATCCTTACAAGGCATAAGGGATGAACTTTAAAAGTATTACATACTTAATAATTCAAGAATAATGTATAACTAAAGATAACTAAAAAAAATAAAGTTTAAATATATTTATTCTGTAAGTAATTGAGTGGGTTATGATAAAAAAATCACTCTGTATAGATGATGAAAAAAATGAAAGAATACTTAAAAAAACAGGTTTATTGAGAATAAGAAAAGGATATTATTAATTACTTATTAATTAATTTCATAATGAATTGTAAAGTATTAGTTTCATGAAGATAATGGCGCTAGAAAATTTAATCAAATTAAACAAAAAAAAACCTGGCTCAAAGAAAAGAATATACAAAAAATCAAGAGATAATGAACATTTGGAAAATGTTTTGGAAGACTATACACTTTAAAAAGCTAACATTTAATAAATACATGCAATATTTTGCATCTTTTGTAAATTATATAATTTTGTAAAAATTAAACAAAAATTAAAAGTTAAATATTTTTATTCTATTAATTTTACATTATTAAATTTCATTAATTGAAAAATTATCAATAATATTATTAATATCCATCACAGCTTTCAACCTCAATGGTAATGTTCCTAAGCTTACTAATTTTTCTGGCTTATTAGTTTCAACTTCTTTTGTAAGACTAAATAATTCCTAGAAAATTACAATAAATTAAACAAATTAAAATTAGCTCAATTATTTCAAGACTAATAAATTTATATATCTTTAACTTTAAGCTATATATAGCCCTTATTGTGTAAATTATAGCTCGTCAATTATACTAAAAACAATATTTTTAGCTTGTTCAAAATTGAAAAAAATCAATGATATGAAAAGATAAAAATTTATTTTATTTTATTTTAAAGAGAAAATCTCTTTAAATAATGGTAATATATTGACTAAATTATAGATAAGGTCTAATTTATTTTATTAAATGTTTGAAAATATTTCTTACAGAATTACACTTCCTTAATATGTAATGTTTATTAACATATTCATAAAAAGGGGAAAAAAACGGTAAAAAATTGACTAAATTTAAAGCTGTTATGTCATTTTACATAAAAAAATTGTATTGATAAAAATGGCATCCATATATCATATACCATCCATATATCATAACCCAACCTAAGCATACATTTATAAATATTTACCTTATGATGTCTTTCTTCATTAGCTTTCATTAACTCATATATTTTCCCATTTAAATTTAAAATGACTCTCCCAGATCTATAGAATTGCACTTTTCCTATAGGCCGAGAACTATATTCCATATCCATATTCTAAATTAAACATTACAACTATTATATAACAAATTTACAAATCACATTTATGATTAACTTTAATATTACTGAGAGGCCTATTTTAAAGAAATGTGTTGATTATATCAAGTTTCACTAATTATAAACATTTTCTCAATGTAAATTATAATGATCATTGATAATACTAGAACTATTTTTTATTGTACATTTTATAAAATTTTTTTGAACTTAAATATATATTTAATCTGTAAGATACAATGTAATTTTCATTCAATAAATTTAAAATTGAGATTGATTTTCAGCATAGCACTTTAATTATTAAAAAACCCAGGAAAGGAGGGTCACCCCACAATGGTGATGTGGCATATTTGGGTCAAGTATGATACCTAACAGTGATTAAAATCGCCATCATAAAAAACGCTTCAATGCAAATCTTTAGATAGTGTTTAACCCATCAACGCCGAGAATTATTTTTTTTCAAACTTTCTATTTTTTTTACTAAAAACAGATTAATATAAAACACAAAAATAAAAAAAAATTATTTTTAAATTTTTTGAAAATACGATTTCTGAGATATTGAGTGTCACCATATGGGTACACTCGGCTTTTACCTATTAAATTATTATTCTAAGAACGCGCGATAAAAATAGCAATACGAATGTCACCATATGGGGACGCCAGGCGTTGATGGGTTAATTTAAAAAAATTGGTGGATTATTACAAAAGCTACATGATCTGCTATTTCCTTATTTATATCTTGATTAAGATAAAGTATGTTAAATGAAAGAGGGATATAAATATTATTTCTCATAAAAAAATTGTATTGATCCCATACACTTTTCAATAAGTTAAAGCAATATTAAGTTAAAAATGTAAAAAATAAAATCCAAAATTTTGATACAAAAATAGCATTTGTTAACTATTCTCATCATGAAGACAAAATAATGTCCGAATTTTTTTTTTCCATGATAAAGTATATTACATTAGCTTTAATTTAAGATATATATGAAAGTGTCAGACTTTCCGAACACATTCAAAAGTAAAGTTGAAAAAGTTAATTTTTTGTGAAAAAGTTGTAGTTTTAAATACCCGCTATGGGCAGGTAAAGGGTCAGATTTATAAATTAAATATATTAAAAAAAAGGTAAAGACATCATGAATCTATAAAAAAAAAAATTATATTGAATTGGTTATTTTTAAAAATTTATGGCAGTTTTAAGTAAAAAAATGTTGAAAAAATGACGAAAATTAGAAATTTTTAAATTTGTATTTTTTTTGGAGATTTATGATTTTTTTTCTATTTATGGGAACGAGAGAAATATTTTCAATTTTTGAAGCTAATGTCTTTGACTAGATACAATTTGTGATCTTTTGACGTATCGTTGATAGAAATCAGTTTGGTGAGAGCTGAGAAAAAGTGGTAACAGACACAAAAAAAAAAACACATCATAGTAAAACTAAAACCTTCTCAGCTTTGCATCGAAGCTAAAAATAATATTTTTTCTGAAAAGTGTTATGTTTATACTACCAAAAATTTATAATTTTTTAGATAAAATGTTAAAAGCAAACTGATAACATAAAATGTCAATATTTTAAGAATATTAAAAAAATATCCTAGAATAAAGTAAACCTAATTTTATTTGTTTTAAACTAAATAATTCAAATAAACAAAATTACAATTTGTATTCAAAAAGTACCAGGACAAATTTAATAATGGTTAATCTACACACGAAAATGTGTAGATTAATGGATATGATCTAAAAACAAAGTTTCAGTCATCTCAGTGGAAAACAAAATTTTTCCCTAAGCCAAGAAGAACTCCCCAAGTGAGATTGAATATTAAGATAATGCTGATGATTTTTTTTTTATATTGAAGGTATTATTTATTATGAATTTGTGTCCCATGGAAAACAAATGATTAGGTATTCTATAAAGATATATTATTACATTTACGTGAAAATTTGCAAAAAGTCACTATAAATATGGTGAAATAGAATCTGGTTTCTTTACCACAATAATTTTCCAGTACATTGAGCACTGTCGATTCAAAAATTTTTTGCTGATCAAAAAATACCTGTGGTCTCACACCCCTTATTCTCCTGATCAGTTCTCATGAGATTTTTTTTCTTGTCCAGAGTTTAAAATCTACACTTAAAGAAAAACAGTTTCAAGATATGGAGGAAATTAAAACGAATACAACAACAAAACTTTAAGCTATAACTTTGGAATAGTTTCAATCCTAACATATCGTTAGGACTACTGTATCATACAGAGGAGAGATTTTTAAATAAGATATCTTTAAATAATGTGTAACTTCATTTTTGTAATTATTAAAAATAATATCCTGATACTTTTGGAAAAAAACCTTGTATTACCTCTTCTTTAATAAGTCCATTAGACTCAGGTATTATAGCTGCTTCGTTTTTAACTGAGTTTTCCAAATTATTAGTAGTATTTCCAGTTAAATCAATATTTACTACTTTAGGTCGAACACTAAATGAACTGTCATAAAACTAAAAATTCAATTTAAATAAGAAATACATAAAAAAATAAAACTGTATTTTTATATAAAGAAGTCTTACAAAGATAATTGATTTACCTGCAAAAGTGACAACGATTCAGGAACAACAAGTTCGCTTAAAGAAGGATAAACTGTTTCCTGAAATGGGTACTCTAGACTATTTTCTGTTTTTATAACAGATGTTTTTTTTTCTACATAAAACATTTACCAAATAATCAATCTTTTATTTGAAAAATTCCAAGGAGTTTTAATAAAAATAAAAATTAACCTTTTTTAACAAATGGGAATCGAATAGGTCCATGATTATTTTCAAGAGGATCATCAACATCAAATCTATCATTTTGAATAAGCTGCATTTGTTGAATACATTGATTAGACTCAGCTTTCACCTTAATTAATATTATATTTTTATTTTACTACATTATAATTTAAACATGATTTACTACTTACAAAAGTTCCTTTACTATTGAAATCACCATGATTAGAGTATGATCTGAAACCAGCTGTTAGTCCAGAATGGGAAGAACCAGATCTAGAATGGCTATTTGAGCTCATGTTCGAAAATACACTTTGAATCTAAATAAAAATATAAAACTTTATAATAAAAAAAGCTAACTAGTATTGATGATTTGATAGTATTATTACTGGGCATACTCTGAAAAGATTTCTACATTGTGATATAAATTTCATTATTTTATGCTATTTGTAGAACTTTACAGGATGGAAAAGACATAATTGATAAATATTAACATTTTATACAATTAAAATTTTGCTACAGTTTTTTCATTCATATGCTACTTATAAATTCTAAGAATACAATAATTATTAAAAAAACGAACAAAAAATAATTATTGAAACAAAAACTATTAAAACACTATTGATCTATTAAATTTGAAAGAAATATTTGAACATACTTGTGTAGTAGATCTTTCTTTAACTTTTTTTTGTTTCTGGGTTGATGATTGCATATTACCATCATTTTCCACTTTAACTTCAACATTTGCATTCGATTCTGAATCTTTAGCTGCAATTCTGCAGAAAAACATTAAAATATTAAATAAATAAATAAATCTTCATACAATAACAAACCTTTTGTATCCAAGATTGGGAGTAAAAACTTTTTTTTTATTTGCAAGGTTTGATAATTTTTTATGTATATCTGGCCGATCATTCATTTTTGAGATTTATTAAAATAGACTCAAAATAACATGAATATCTTTATTTAATTATTTGTATTACTAATATTGGTGAAAATTTGTCTAAGTTGTATAAATTTAGATAGACGATAATATGTTGCATATTGATAATAGCTGATAAAATTATTCCACTAAAAATTCAGTAGTTTGAACACACAGATAAAGATAATAAACTAGATTATCAACTATCCAATATTGCCTGTATTAACCTTTAATAGACAAATAACCACCATATTTTTTGAAATCAAATAATTTTTCCTATACTTTGTGTACAAATTATTTTGTTATCAGAACAAAAAATTTGATAACAAAATGTTAGGCCTCAAAAATTATGGCGGATATTTGGCTTCAGTCATTATCACAGAAGTATCTAAATACAAGAATACATCTATATTTAGACACCTTTGTGATATAACTATACGATGAATATTGTATAAATTATCATAATCATAATACCCATCCTCAGAAATTCTAATATAATTTTTTGAAGAATAAAAAATTTTTTTTGGATAAATATTGGAGTATTATTTATAGCCAAAAAATGATTTTACTTAATGAATGTAATAAAACATAAATAAAAAAAATATTTTTGTTCAATATTATCTTGTATATATTCAATGTGTTCATACTGTACATATGATATGTACACTAGAATCTTTAATTTCTTTTTCAGTTAAAGTATCAAATTCTGAAAAATGTAATTTACATAAAACACTTAACATGGTACTTAAGTTTGTTCAAATAACCTTGCAATTTAAAAGCTTTAATTTTATCTTGTGGTACTTTATATATAAATTTACCTTTAGATATACAAATACAGCAATTTCGAAGCTTATTATTTAAAAGTTAACTATTGAACAAAATAAAATTATATAGGCAAAAGTAGGGCGTATAATATAAAGTGAAATGACACTTCAATGAAGATCTATGCGTTTAATTTTTGTAATATTTTATTTCATCCTGTAAATGCAAGTTTTTAATATATTTTTATACATATAAACATGTAAATTGAATAAAGTATTTTAAATTTCTGATGTAGTGCTAATCAATTTTATGAATTAGATTTCTTAAAGTATTTCAAACTAGATTGCGCCATGTTGCATGGTCCGATCACTTATCAATAACGTCTCAACTTTGCCGAAATGACAAACCTGTTTGTATAACCGTGTCTATAACAGACAGTGTTTATATTTCTAGGTTAGATATTTTGACTTGTTAAACTGTAATCTAAGTATACTGCAAGATTAATGATTTTAATACATGAATTATAAATATTTATGAATTTTCAGCAAACACTAAAAATTAACTTTTATTTTTCTGCTAGAAACTTCACAATCTGATAGATAAAAATACTTGTTATGATGCAAATATTTATAATTAAAATTTTATAAGTATTTCTAAGTATGTCTAAAGACTCTAGTTCGAGTAAGGAAAAACGTAAACATCTGAAGAAAGATGATGGTTCTAAAATTCTTAAAGTTTTGACATTATTTGAATATCTTACTAAACTACCAGAAGCTGTTCAAGATCGACTTTATAGTCATCCGCCAACATGTTTAACTGTATTTAGAGTTTTACCTGATATTGCACAACAATTTACATTACGTATATTGTTTATTGAACAACCAGTACCACAATCAGTTCTTTCTTCTTGGGTTCCAGCTAATTATTCCAATGAACTTGAAGAGTCTATTGAAGTGGCTACTAATCTACATATATGGAAACTTACTGGAGTCTCTGGTGGTTTAAAAGGTTGGATTCTTAATTCAACTTTCAAAAAGAAACTTAAAGTAGCGCTTATGGGAGGAGGCCGTTCTATGGTATCAAATAATGAAGTGACTGCTGATCCCAAAGCAAGAGATGTTGACTTTCTTGATGCATATGCATACGAGAGGTGGGAATGTATATTGCATTATATGGTTGGTTCTAAAAACGAAGGCATATCAGCTGATGCTGTTAGAGTTTTATTAAATGCTGGTCTCATGGTGAGTTAACAATTTTTATAGAAACAAATTCAAAGTAAAATAATTTTTTAGGTTCAAGATACTGATGGTAGTCCAGTAATTACATCAACAGGATTTCAGTTCCTTCTTCTTGATATGGCTACTCAAGTCTGGTATTTTATGCTTAGATATATGGAAACTGTTGAATCACGAGGACTTGATCTTGCCCAGTGTCTGACTTTTCTATTTCAAATACACTTAGGTACTTTAGGATGGGATTACATTACTGATGAAATGTCGGAAAATCTTCAAGCATTTTTACAACACCTGAGAGAGTTTGGATTAGTATACCAAAGAAAACGTAAAGCTGGTCGTTTTTATCCAACACGTTTAGTTATAGAGATGGGTCAAAGTAGTAGTCGAACATCTGAACGAATGAAAAATAAAGAGAGATATATCATAGTTGAAACTAATTTTCGTGTATATGCTATGACTGATTCAGATCTTAAAGTTGCATTAGTTGCATTATTTACCCACATGCTCTATAGGTAATATATATACATTGTTATTATTCATGTTCAATTATTCAATTAATTTTATACTAAATTAATGGATGATAGATAGATAATATCATAGAACATTTTTTTATATATTTAATTCAATTGTATACAAGGTAATAATCATAATATTATATAAATATACAAATGTTTACCCAACTTTAAATGATTATTATTATTAATTTTTAATAAAAATTTATAATTTATCCATATTGTTTCATATAAAATTTGATGACATTAAATTTAGAAATAATGATTAATATTAACATTTTTTCAGGTTTCCTAATATGGCTGCTGGTATACTTACACGCGATTCAGTACGTACAGCCTTGCGTAGTGGTATTACAGCAGCTCAAATAGTGAGATTTTTGACTGTACATGCTCATCCTCAAATGCAAGAAAGTGGTATTCCTCAAACAGTTATTGATCAAATATATTTATGGGAGAATGAGAGAAATAGACTGACTTTTATTGATGGTGTGCTGTATAGCAATATTAATACACCAAATGACTATGAAACTATAAAAAATTATGCTATAGAAATAGGAGCCTTGGTATGGTGTGATGAAAAAAGACGAAATATTGTTGTTAGTACAGATGGACATGATGATGTAAGAAAATTCTGGAAAAAACAACCCAAGTCCGACCCATTTTAATATAATGTGAATTATATTAATTATAATTTATTACTAAGAAATGTAAAAAATGTTTAATTTAAACTATTTGTTATTGTAAATTAATTTCTTAATGACACTTTAAAGTGTGAATATATACCATTTTTGAGGTATTAAAGTTATGTATAGTACATTAATTTGAAAAATTGTTTTTTTTTTATGATATATTTAATTTCATTAATTTTATCATTTATTCTTATCGCCAGGTACAGAATATTTTTATTCTTATTTTTTTTTAAGATGTTTTTTCCTTATTATAAAGCCTTACTGGAGAATATTTTCAAATTTTATTGTAAAAAATAAAAATGCATGCCTTTTAATTAAAAACCTAAGAATTACGTAAATTATAAACGTATTATTACGTTTAAGAACAGAACAATAAAATATATCATTTAATTAAATAAAAAGTTCTACTTACCAGCAATTTGACTATCGAGTGTCAAAATTGTTTACTGCTATAAAAGACCATTTTTCAATAGTTATTTAATTATAGAAAACCTCACTGTTTTTCTAAAAAAAATGTATAATAATTAGTGGAATTTATATTAATAATTTAACCACTTTAATTGTTTTAAAATATTACTTAACTTTTATAATTTATTTGAATTAATTAAAATGAGGTTATTTTATTTTACATTTGTCTTATGATACATTTTAACTGTTTACTCATATTTTAAACTGGTTTTTTTAATAACCCTTTTCCAAACATCATTTGAATATTTTTGAAACTTTATTAATAGAGTATTGTACTGTATTCAACAATAAAATTGTTGGCTTACCTGTTTTAATATTCGAAAAAAAATAATAATCGTGATCCAACATACAGTTACAGTTAATATTTAAACCAGTAAAATAAGAATATATTTCATCAAAGGATTCATGACCTTACTTTATTAATTTTAACAGTGATCAACACTTGTAAAACCCACGGTAAACATTTTGTCCAATTTTTAAATTACGCTAATTCAAAATACATTCGAATACCCTTATGCATAACCAGCAGTGGCGTATGCTGTGTATGAACAGCATACACTTCACAAATTACAAAAATAATTTATTTTTAACATATTAATAAAGCTGTATTTTTGTAAAAAAATTTTCAATTGTACTAATTTAGTATTTCATAATATAATATGTGAATTTTCTTCCAAGTTCATTAATCATTAAGATTAATTAATCCACAACACCACGGACGCGCCGCGCTATGGTCCTTATAATATCTAGTGGCTAGTACCTACCCATGTTTATTATGTACGCAGTACGCACGTTGGCGATTGCATACGAGTACAGACAGTTATTTATATTTCTTATCGATAATATTAATAACAAAACATGTTACGCTCGCGGTCGTGTATTAGTCCTTCATGTATGTGGGATCAGTATTGCATACACGCTGTCGTATATCGTACCATTCTGTCGGTTATGTAAAACAATTATAAATTGTAACGTGTGTGTTAACTGTATATTGTTAGTGTGACATATCAATAATGTGAATGTACAATCGAACAATTTTTAAAGTCTTTCGGCTTTAGAAAAAAAATTATTGGTAAAGTTGAAAAAAAAATCTACATTTCATGATGAATTAAACGAAACTTTCTTACTAAAAATAGAAAAATTGATTTAATATATAAGTATTTATTAGTTATTAAGTTTATTATTTTATTCAAAGGTTTTACGAGATGTAATTATTAAAATAAAATAATTTTTAAAAAGTTGTAACGTCACAAATTCGAAGGTGGACCGTTTATGATTTTTTGTTATGTCTACTTATTTATTTTATCGCGCGAAAGAACNTGATTTATTTTGTGTCTTTTAAATATAATATTGTGTTATGTACTAGGTAATGTATTACCTAAAACTTCTTAAAATTTTGTATATTTAAAGTAAAATTTTAAAAACAGTATAGAGGGGTGTGAAGCACGTAGCCCCCCGCGATTTCATTAACTTACCATTTCAACACATTAGCTAAGCTGAAACCCACGCTACGAAACTGATAACCAACTTTTACACCAAAAACTCATTCGTTTATTTATTCTCCTATTATCTTAATTTATAATAAAAAAAATTAGAATTATTGTTCTTATAAACTCCCTATTTCAATTATGATTTCTATTGTCGTTTATTGACCTGTTTGTTTATAGAACTGATTTTGTCAACACCTCCACTTATTAACTTATTACAAAATGCAAAATTTATAGGCCATAAAATCAAAATTTTATTTTAATATAATTTGACTAAAATTTAAAATTTGCACAAATGAAGGCTATAATATTAGGTAGAATAATACCATTTTATCTTATAAAATAAAAAATATATATATATATATATATAGATTTTAAAACAAAAATATAAATTTATTACACAAAAGAATAATACTTTATGTATACTATACAAGTAAATACAAATTTTTATATTTATTAACAGTACATATTTTTTTATATGCAACAAATAAAAAACAATATTAATATAGAGATCGTTTTGAAATTAAAAAAAAAAACTGACAGTAATATTTTTTTACTCAATATGGTAACCAACATAAAAAAATTACTATTTTATATTATTAAATAATTTAAAAAAAATAATTATACCATGACCAAAATTTTTTATGTAATAGAAGTAGTTAAAAATGACAATATGTTTTTACATAGTTTTAATTAATAAGGAGGTTGGTATTGTAATTATTTTTGATAAGTTAATTTTTAAAAAAATTACATAATAGTTTACTATATAAAAAAAAAATAAGAGGAGGCAGTGATAGCTCTAATAAGCCTTATAAAAATGATAAAAAAAATACTAAATACAACATATTAAAATAAAATTTTGGTCTTCATAAAAGTTTCACAAGAATCTCTAATTTTACCAATATTTTTAGTGTATATATTAAAAAATTGTGCAAGTAAATAGTCTAACATAATAATTTTATAGTCTATTTCAATAGTATAACTTAGAAATAGATAAATATTAATATTTTCAATTAAATTTAAAACTAATTATTATTGTGCATAAATATATGATTCAACAATAACACAAATGGAAGACAAAATAACAAATCTTATTAAATAAATATAATAATAAGTAATTATCAGCTGATTCTAGGACTTACAAAAGTAAAATACATTAATTATATTACGTATTATGAAATTATAATATAAATGCACCATTAGTTGTTGATATTAATATAAATAAGCTCTGATAAAAAAATTAAATGATGTGATTAAATAATGATAGAGTAAAAAATTTAATGTTTAGTAGTTTATAATTGAAAAAACTAATCACATTTAATCTTAAATATAATAATAAATAAGTCAAGTATTTTACTTATTGTCAGTTAAAATTGAACCATGCGAATATACATACAACAATGGTAAATTAGAGACCATAAAATTTATTTATATAACAGAAATAATTTGTTTTTAAAGCTAAAGAAATATCCAATAGAGTATGAAATAATCTCGAACTCTATAGTTAAAATATGCTATTTCCTAGTCTTCAATTTACTAATTTACCCTGTTTATTGCACATATGAGAGAAGTCTAAAGTTATCATTGTAGTAGAACAATTTTAGATAAAATTTGGTATTGCCTAAAATTATAGTTTATTCGTATTAATACTATCTAATCATTTATTTTATAAAATATTTAAACAGAAAAATTTGAGGTATTCTACACAAGAAGTGTATAGTATACCCAAAAGATTTTTTAGATGTTAATCCAGCAATCAATTTTTTTTTCTTATAAAACCCTCGATCACAATACCAATATAAATGTTTACTAAATTAAAAACAATATAGATTACCAATTTTTGTACACATACTAATTATTGATAATATTTGTGTGTAAATATATACAGATTTAATTAAATTCTACTCAACAGTAAATCCACAAGTTTCTTCTACTGCTTGACTAAGTTTATCTAGCAACTTTTGTTTACTTTCATATTTTGGTAAATCAAGACGGTTAAAGCATGTGTGCGCTTTAGGTAAATTATCAGTAGGCACATCTGTAAGATGAATTGTAAATAAACGTGGACCAGCTGCTCCTGTTGACCCTTAAAAATTAAAATTAGATAGCTTGAAATTTTGTTATTTAGAAGTTAGATAATTATGAAGAATTAATATGGATACTAATTAAGATGTATATAAATAATATCTGTCAGTTCATATCTCAGTGATTAGGATATTGAAATTTAGTTTGATAGGTGTATAATCATAATTTTCAATTGAAAACTTTAATTTAAATGCTACAAATTTCAAAATTATTCTGACACATTGTATTAAATTTAACAGTTTTATAGTAAGAACTCTATATAATTAAACCATATTCTAAAATTGATTGAACTAATGCATTCAGAGTATACAACTATAGTGAATTTGAAAATTATGGTCCATTTTTATGTTAACCTTCTTAATATTTTTATGTAATAAATTATAACAAATATATAATCATATAAAATTATTTAGGGATTTCATCAGTGCTAAAACAGAATGTGTTAAGTGCTAAACACATACCAAATTTACGATGCTAATGATAATATTGTCCCCAAAATACGTTTTAATGATTAATTAACCAAATATTTTGAATTTTAAATAATTATGTTACATAGCAAAATGTTTTTTGTAAAATATTTTTATTTTTAACAATTAAAAAAAAATGGTAATTTTTATTTCAAATAACTTTGTTAAGTCAAAATATGAAGTTAGAAAGTCTACATATAAGATTGTCTACCTAACAAAAAGTTAACTTTAAAAAAATGTCTACTATTACTTGCTTGTTGTGGATACTAACTAATAATGTTAAATAATATAATTATTACTAATTTAACTTCATATTAAACATCAGTTTCTGATTTATTTAATTATTATGGATAAACAACGCATTATATTGTCTCACAATAAAAATATTTTATTGATAAATGAAAATTAAATATACCATCAATGACGTATGAATAGAAATAATGAAACTAATTGTAAACTATACTAAACCCCAACCGTGAACGCATTATTAAGTTTTTGATGTGATCTAAAATTCAAATAAGTATGATTTTACAAAACCCATTATTTTTAAGGCATTGCTAACATTATTTGAAATGTGTTGGTGGATATTTAAGTTATAACTTATTGTTACATATTTTTTATAAATAAAAAAAGATACAACTAAGTATTGTTGATAATTATTTTTTATAGGCTAGCATGATTTGTAAAAACTATTTGAATAATTTTCTAAAAACTTATATTCAAATATACCATTTATTAAAAAAATATATTTTAAATAATAATACAATAATAAAAATAAATTTTCTTTTACCTTGAAGAGCTTTAAAACCCTGAAGTGGAACTCTTGAACTACCCGTAACAAATTGTAATAATCTAAGTCGCATTTCTTGACTATAATTTTGTTCAACAACTTCCCAAAACCATTTTACAACTGGCATGTCAGCAGAACAGTGCTTACATAAATAATAAAGTTGTGATAATCAAATGTATAAAATATAAATTTTATAAATTATCATTACTTTTAACCTAGTATTTCTTCTCCAATCTTCAATATCAATTGTACCAATACCACTAATAATCAATTCAATCTCACGTTCGTCGAATGGTTTTAACAAAGTTCCAGGAACTACTTCAGTCAAACCTTTTTGTAGGGCCAAAAATTGTTGTTCAATACCTCTCATGAATCTATAAGTAACATATAACTTGACATATTCTTTTTTATTATCTTCAGTTAATTGGATATTTCTTCCATTAGTTTTTAGTTCATGTAATTTCAATACACCAAAACTGCTTTGCTCAACAGCAAAAGTAGTATCAATAATGTCTTTTTCAAGTCGATTTTCCCTATAATAACATTTTATTGTTAAATGGTAGTAAATAATTTAATAATCAGTAATTTAATAAATTACAATATGTATGTAAGACTTCGATGAAGTTCAGGATCAACTCCTTCAATATCTTCTAATGTAATAGGTTTGTTTAATAACATCTTATAAAAAGGTGTAGTAAATCCACCATCAATATAATGACCATGAAAAATAGCAATTCCAATTATTCGACCAACAAAATGAAAGTATGACAGGTGTTCCTAATCATTAATAATACAAAATGAATTTGTTTATTATTATTAAATGAAATTGTATTTACTGGATTAATTGAACTGTCAGGATTGATTTGTAAAGTGTAATTATCTTCTCTGGAGTACTGAAATAGCCCATATTGAGGATTGAGCATTTCATGAGATAACAAATATAACCATTCTCTTGCTACTCCTCCATAGTCCAAACCTTCTTCACCACGAAATTTAACCATAAGTCGTTTCCGTAGATCTTTAGGTCTCATTTTCATAACAGCTCTATAAGATTCCTTAAAAAATTTATTTTTACATACATTATGAAAAATCTATAATTTATTCATACAAATTCTAACATACTTCAAATATTTCTGATCTTGATACTTCAAGTCTCATATGACCAGTTTGAGGTTGTAATACAGATAACTCAGTGCGTAGTATTTTTTGTTTAGCAACTAGATCTCTTTTGTATTTAGGCAAACACTCAGAATCAGTCTCTATGCTTTGTGGACTATCAAAGACGGGCCTGACTGGAGTCCTATTATGATTTGAAGATGAGTCTGAAGTATTTTGTAATCTAGAGTTTTCTTTATTGTTCGACAGGTTCTGTTCATTTGTTGATGGGATTTGATCATTTTGTTTTCTAATATATAATATTAAATTTAACCAATAGCATTTAAAAATATAATATCAATTTTATGTATTGTCACATCTAGGGCAATTAAATTTAATCACTATTAAGAACTTTATTTTTGAAAAACCCAGCACAGGGGGGTCGCGGCACAGTGGTGACGTGGCATAGTTGGATCAAGTATAATGATATCTGACAGTGATTAAAATCACTATCAAAAAAAAACGCTTCGATGCAAATCTTTAGATAGTGTTTAATTTTAAAAAATTGGTGGATTATTCCAAAAGCTTCATAAACTGCTAGTTCCTTATTAATATCCTGATTAAGATAAAGTATGTCGAATGAAAAA